ATTCTACGAATATTATCTTTTTATTTTATCGTATTATCTGATGCTACGATTTTACAAATTATGTTTTTTATGTTAATTATCAATTTAAGTAACATCAAAAATAGAATGTTATTTGCTGAAAAAATAAATTTTATCTCTTCTTTTTTTATTTTTTTATTTTCTCTCTCTCTCTCTCTCTCTTTCATCAATTTAAATTTAAATTGTTCAATTACCTTTCATGATATGACACGTTCCAATGGATATTTTTTTTTCGTCTTTTTCTTTATTTGCATGCATGCTAAATTATGGAAAGTCCTCAAAAAACCGTAAATGTAAGAGTTTTAACGCATATAAACGGGCTTGAATATATTCCTTTGATTACATTCGATGATTGTTACTACTGAACACTGCACTTGTATTGACACTTTTCAATAATAACTATTAACAACTGCACTAGAAAAAATTGAAAAAATGAAAAAAAAAATCACTTTTATTTTTTGGTAGGAAAAAATAGATATCCTAAAATATCAAATTATTTAAATTTGATCCAGCGACCTCTCGTATCGCCAGTTCTTCGGAGCCAATCGTGTTTACGAATGGTTATGTAAATAGACATTCATGCAAAACCAGATAGAGCGGTAATGAATTCTAAACGTACAGATGATCATTGATGAATGTGCGGAGAATGTCGGCCCTGCGACAACTTTTTCAAATGAACACAAAATATGGCTCGATAATATCAGCGTACCGGAAATTTCATTTCACATTCGACAAGGATGAAATTTGAATGCAGATCAGTTTCTTGCGCAAGTGCACGCTCTGCTCCAGCAGCAACAGGCAAGAATTACAATCGCCATAATGCACGCGTTGTAAAAACCATTTGCTCATATCCGTATATACATACATGGCCGTGTTCTATATCGCGTCACGTTTACATGCGTAGATTGCATTAAAAGCGACGCGATGCGCGCGCCAGCAATTTTTTTTTTTTTATATATATATTATGATGCATGTGCAGCCGGCACTTGTCGGAAATAATTCAATTTCTGTGTAATAAAGTTCCCGTGCGAAAGACCATTTTGCGGTATCGCGTAAGGGCGTCAACTAGCCTCCCTCCAGACGCTTATGGATAATTAGATGAAAAGATAATCAGGTAAAGTCCGAATATTTATCGCGACAAGATGTTCTTTACCACGAATTGCAACGGAGATGCTTTCGAATTATGGATGCATTTATCATGCGACTGCGGCATGATTTAATTTCCAGCTATGTGCATCTAAAAGTTTTGCAATTAGGAAGATCTGAATTTTATGCGTTTAAATGAACTCATTAGAAGGAAACTTTGGCTAGACCCGGAGAATTTTAGATTAAATTTGAAATTGTTATATATCGTGAAATATTCATAGCGTATAATAATCTTATGCCATTGTCTTCCTGTTTGTTTTTTATAATTTTATAGCAAACATAACGTTTAAAACAAACATACGCTTCTAAGAATAGTTCGATCGAGGACTGGGTATTAATTGTAAATTAAATCTATGTATTTACGTACAATATACAGTCATAATAAAATTTTTTTTAAGTTACGTGACGGGACGGCTTGTTTCTTCGATTAGGAAGATGATAATAATCGCAGAGTTTGCTTGCGAAATTGTCACGTACTTGCCCGATAAATGTTACAATGGCTTTGCCGTAAATTACCGAACTCAGGTGTACACGATTCGGCTTAGCTTCGCGCGTTTGACTAATCACGGACTGTAACCACTGCGAGGTTACTCTAATACTTCAGAGATCCCGAATAATTTGCGACTAGTCGAATGTGTATCGGTCGCGTTCGTTACTGACTATTACCGCTACTATCGGCTGTTTCTCTCGCGAAATGTTCTCCTTGTTTACAAAGGGAATTAGCGAGCATTTAAAGTTTAAAACGAGAACGAAATAATATTTTTAACGATGTAATGAGATGATCGTAATCTTCATTCGAGATATTTTTAAACACATTTAACGTTCCATGTAAATAACAAGTATTCTGTTATCACAATACCGACCTCGTTGAACAAAAGTAAGCCGAGGAACGGAAGGAGGACGAAAGAGTTTTCGACTGAAAATTTGCGCAGAATGCACAAAGACGCAACGTAAGACAAAGGGACGCGTCTTCGCCTTCTTGGTTTTGAATTGTCGTCCTAAACCCATGTAAAACAATATGCCTCGTCTCGAGCGCGACTGTCTATTCTGTTGGAGAAGAATCGTCTTGTATACGTCTAATTACTCGATAGTATTGTTTACGCGGGCTTCGTCGTTTACCAGCCGCCTTTTCGTTGCCGGTCTCTTGTTAGTCGAAATCCAAACTCGATATTACTCCGTCCTGTGTATCGAGTAAACGACGGAATCCGCTTTGAATAAAGTCACGTCGCTCGTGGTATATGAGCATCGAGCAACGTTGGCTCCTCGCGACCGAGCTGTAACTGCGTGATATAAAATAGGGTAAGCCGCGGTTATTTCTATCGTCCAACGAAAGGACGGCACCGATAAATATTTCAACGTAAATTATTATTCTGCGAAAGAGAGCGAGGGGGTTACTTCACCTCGCGAAATTTCACAAAATTTCCCTTTTTCACTAATATATTTTATATTTCATAAATCTTGCGTATGCCAAGTTTTTCGAGGCCTCGCCGGGAATTACCGCCCTTTTGCCACAATTGCTTGTGGCTACTGCCCCATTGAATGCTTTGCACGTGTATTCGTAACGTGGTCGTGGGAGTTGCAAATTCCACGAGAAAGAGAGAGAAAGGGAGGAAGGGCGATTGGACATTTCGCCAACTTTGCACCGCGCCGGCGTCAAGTTTTATCGCCTCGCCTTTTCGCTCATCACATTCGAAACTTGTTGGCCGCACTGCTATTGCTCATTGCAGTCGAGCGGAAAAGCTTGCCCCGGTCTCGAACTTGATTCCGCTTCCTGTCGCGCGGACACGCGCCCACATGATGGATACACTTTGCTGCGTGTGCGGGAGGGGGGAGGGCGATAAATGTACCTAACTTCCGCCGTTTTCCGTCGCAGAGTTCTGTCGCGGGCAAACTTTCGCCCGACGACTCCGCTTTGGAGCTCGACTTTGCGTTAGGATCTTTGTCACTCGGGAGGCAATCAAGCGCCTACACATCACGCGTTTGTATTTAAGAAAGTAGGAGAGAATGAAATTCAACACATTATAGATTTTGACGTTATTTATATCGTTATAATTGAAACTGTAAGCTGCTTAAATTAGAAAAAATAATTATAATTATAATTATAATTACAATTATAATTTTCAAGTATGATTTTTTTGAGGGTGATTATTTAAAATGAATGTATGCATTATCATACGAGCAGAAATCGCTATAATTGTGCATAAGCAATGATGATATCAAAGTTATTTAAATAATGCACAGCATATGATATTATTTTGCATATGTGTTGCGACGTACGAATGAATCTGAATCATGTTTAATTCAGTTACATAATTTGTTCGGGCCTGAAAATGAAAGTAAATGGATGAGTGTCATCATCGTTATTGTAATTGTAACTGCAAGAAGATCGATATGAGTGTGTCACATCAATTTAATATTATGATTCGAAGTGTCTAACAAGTCTGCTAGTTTCGTAATGGAGTTATCAGTGTGTCGCTGCACAAGAGAAACTTGCCTGATTGGCGTTTAACGCTCGCAACGCGCCAGCCTGATCGTCAAGGGCGATGTTATTGTCACGATAAATTTTCCTATGCACATATTTAAAACTTGCAATTTTTACTCCAATGCGATTTAATTCAAGTCGCGTCTTACAATCTCATCGAAGCTATTTCAATCGATTAATTATTGGGATCAAGTTAGATAAATATTTCAAAAGCTTCTCTCTCTTCAAACATTTAGAATGCTTGTCTAATAAGGATTTTTATAAATCGAGAGATTTATAAATATAATTAAATACAATCGTTAAATAAGAGAAAATTGGATTAAATCAATTTTCATGTTAATGTTAGATTCGCTTTTTGTTTTTTGTTTGCAGTGCAAGTTTATGGTTTTTAGTTTTTCTTTATTTCTTTCTTGATCTTTGATGCAATATCGTGGAAACGAATAAGTCCCCATAACCGAATATAACCGAAAGTATGGCGGATGTGCGTTTTGATCTATACGCAAAGTCTAGATGAAAGGATAAGAAATATCCCAGTGGAATATCGTCACAGACGCTGACACGACTTTAATGTCCCCAGCATAATATATTCTCCCGTCTCGTGTCTATTTTATTATTATTTTTATTTTTATTTCACAGCCGCAAACATTTTTATTTTTACTTCACGCAAACATTTGAATCAACAACGTAAGAAATTGCTGAGATTCGCAATTCGATTAAAGCTCAAAATCTGTCGATTATTTATCATCGGTAAGCTGTGTTATTCATTATTCGTTAATATACGATTTAAATAAAATTGATCAATAATGGAAAAAAAAGAAATATAGTCCATTATTTCGTAAATGTAATTGTGACCATGTTCATTTTACAATAACTTTTGATCTTTCTTTGTAATTGCGTTTATTTGATTTTCAGCGTTGAATACGAGGATTCGTTTAATTACATATACCCATTCATTAATAATTTATATGAACCATCAAAAGGATATGCGAAAATTGTACCTATAATTAACTGACATGACGTATTCAATTACTCGCGATTCTCATTAAATAACATTTTTGCTTATGTATTATGTATTCAATATTTTATTAATTAATAATCGCAATCATGTGAAAGAATTAAGTTATCTCTTCTATTAAAGATAATAATTTTTACATAAATCACAATTTGCACGAAGATGCGCGATGCATACATAAAAGAGACCATGTATAGAAAGAAAAAATGTAACACGCATACGACAAGCTAAAATATGTAAATTGTAATAATTATACGTATGAAAAGTAAAGTTAAAAAATATATTAATCAAAGATTATATTTGCCTCGAAATACGTCATACAATAATTACTTCATGTTTCAGCTGGATCCATGATTGTGGCAAAATGGTGGATCGGCAAAAGGCACTTCTGATGGTGTTATTGGCGCTCCTGATTTATCCAAACGATATCTTTGGTAAGTTTTCATCTTTATCATTTCGGAACGTGAACGAATACAGGGGTAGGCGAAGAAAAAAAGAAAATTTCGACCAATTTGTATTAACTATACGGCTGTATCCTCGAAAACTCGCTAAAACGGATTGGAAAGCCATTCCAGAAAAACAAGATTAATCTAACGAAATCCCTTAACGGATTTCGTCTCTCCCCCCCTCTGCCCACCTGGATCCCTCCCCCCCCCTCCCCAAGCTGATCCCGCGATATTAGAATCCTCGACGCGAGAGTAGATGCCTATCGCATCACGCGAACGCGTTCGCAGATTTCGAAGGCCGCCGAACCCGAATACGAGAGCCGTGAGATATATATCGCACTGTGTACGGGCAATTTTGCAACTAAGCCGTTCGCTGTGCACACGACCACCTGTAAATACAATACCGGGACTAATCCGCTTTTGAAACGCACACTAGCATGGCGCGACATACGGCGATATTGGCCTTACGACCTCTTCCACTACGGTGAGATATTACTTTTTCTGAATACCAATGTGTGTTCCGGATAAAATGAACAATCCGTAAAGTTTCGTTAAAACACGCATATTATTGCTCATTCCACTTTATTTACTTGTGCGCGGAAAAATGGAAAAAATCGTCTTAAATATCTTTGTATAAAAAAAATAAAGTAAAAATGTCTGCGTAATATAATATATTCGAATAGATATGAGAAAAAGAAGTTGAATTTCTTTCTAATATATATTTCATAAGAGCTCTCTAATTACGACAATATTTAATATTGGAAGTTAAACTTTTCGCGGATTAAGCTCCAACAACAATGCAAATAGGTTTTCAGTACATTTCAAGTGGAATTTATTTCAGGAACAAAAATAAAGCGATTATAAATGAAAACGCATCAGAGCAGGATTTTATATGTTTGAATATCGATAATAATAGCTAATTAATAAACCAGTAAATATCCAGGGATTATTTCGGGTATCATATTAATCATCTATTAATTCCTTCATATTATTATATTATATGTATTAATTAATTATTACCCAAACATATTTATTACATACGCATGTACACTGTCATATGAGCATTAATAGTTTTTGAATTATAAATAACAACAGAAGAAAGTATTATAACAATATGAAAAACAGAAATATGGAAAATAAAATTTTACGGAATTAATTATGAAGGTTTAGCATGAACTTTGTAGCAGTGCATATAAAGCCAAACATAATTTATTTTTCGTCTCAAAAAAACTTGAATGATGATGAACGTGTAATACAGAACTAAATGAAACGTTCAGGCATACAAGCGAATGTCGTGAGAGAAAAAAATAAAAGATTACGATTTTAATAAAGACTACAGATACCGCTTAGGGTAGACGAGAGACGACAAAAAGAGGAGAAAAGGAAAGTGGACAGAAAGATATTATGTAGTCTGACGTAGACAAGAAAATTTTGCAAACTATCAAGGTTTTATCGCTTCCTCCAGTCGCGCATTCGCATGATAATTCCCAGCAAACGTCTTCATAACAGATGAATGGCATTTGATTACTGACGTCACTCAATTTTAGCCGATTTCTCTCTCTTTTTCTCTCTCTCTCTCTCTCTCTCTCTCTCTTCTCGCATTCTCTCAGCGAGTAAATAAGATTTCCTAGAAGAAAACTCTAACGTGCCTGAATATTCTGGATATTCTGCGGATTCATTTCTCGCAAACAGGCAAGCACTATGACACCTGTACCCGATACGCATTCCCTTAACAACTCCGGCATTCTTCCATTCTATCGTAAATTGCCCAATTTGCATTGCTATCTCGACGAATCGTTATAAGAATTTCCATTAATCGTAATAGATTCCGTTTAATACTTTTTAAAATTTTTATCTAAAAATTCATATTCTTTAAAGAAAATCCATATTACATATTATTCATGGCACTTGTAAAATATAGGTATGTAAATATAAAGAGATTAAATCGTTTCTCAATCTATTTTCAATAACTAAAATTGATTTTATAAATTTTAAAAGATTATAAAATATAAAATAAAATATGTCCTAATATTTTTATAAAATAAAGTCAATAAATCTCAATAAATTATTTAAAATCTTAATTAAAATAAAATAAAACCAATCATTTTAAAAAAGTAATTTTAAAAATTTATTGTATTTTTTTAGCAGAAAATAATAAACAAAATATTTTTTAAATACATTTATTAAAAAATAGGTAATAAAAATATATCTCATTTTAACTTTGATAATTTGATAAAAATCATGATTTACGAATATAAATCACTGATATACTGTTACAAATAAAAAATTGTAACAACAATTATAAGTACGCAATAATTATAAATAATTTAGATCTGTCACAGGTTTTTCGCGGGTTTTTTCCGTCTTGAATTTAATTTTTTCTCAGTAACAAATTTTGATTTTTAAAATATCTGATTAAAAAATAGAATATATACTATTTTTCATATTCACACAAAGAGTCGAAAGCGCGCGACATAATGTTCAAATAACTTATAATATAATATATATTGGATTATTCTACTCATTAATTTTTCCAAATAACAATGTTTTCATCATAAATTAAAATATTATAAAATATGTGATTTAATTTCTTCATTTGAAGCATGAAATAAATATTCTTCATAACACGACATATTCTTGAATCACGATAATATCGAATAATTCTTCCTAGACAAATTCAAAATAAACTTTGAGGAGCTTTGTGCAATTTTTAGATTGCATATATCATGTACGAGTAAGTATCCGGGAAACGATAATTGTAAAAATGCGAAAGAATTATCCACAAGTGCAAGATGTTTCAATGTGCATTGAATATTGAACGGTAATGCTGAAAGAAATAAATAAGGAGCAGGACGTGCACGACCATAGAAAGGCAAAAGCAGCATCCGGCCAATCGGGAACTTCCGCTTATCGTTCGCTTAACGAACGGTGAATAGAAAAAGGGTGGTGGCCATTCAGACGCGGGCAAACGGAAGAATAAATTGAGTTAAATTAAACGAGACCTTTTTTCACGCGATTTTTCTCAAGGCGAACGACATCATCGATGAAGCGATACCGCGATGCAAATTCTTGGCTCTATTTAGAAATGTCTCATTTAATCTAAAATATACTACTTTCATTTAATGCAGCATGTCTCCAATCAATTTTTCGACGTCTCTCCTCCGTTTTCTTTGCGATAGAAATTCGTTCGAGAAAAAGAATTTCATGGAAATAATGCACTTCATCTTAAATTTAAATAACGATATAACGAGGATTAATTTCACATGAAATTTAAAAATACAAGATTCGTGATTTTTTAATGGAATATATATTTCACAAGTCAATATTCATTTGGAAATGATTCCCACCGCAAGGAAAGATTGCACTTCGCAATGCATCTCATTTCTAAATCTTCGCATTTATGCAACTCGATGAATTTAGCATCCATCGGTATAAAACCGTGTTCTTCTGCTTATGTTTTGCATTAGCATCGTCGTTAAATTGTGACAAAATTTACTTCAAACGCTTCGTTACGATAAGCAAAGCCGCTTTTGCAAAGCAACCGGAAAAATCTAAGACTGCGAGAGTAAACGAAAAAAAAATATAAAAAAAAACATAGAAAAAAAGAGATTCAATAATTAGATCAAAAAAATGTTATGGTCTTAAAAATAAAATGTAACTTATATAACACAATTGTGAGCTGCACAACTCAGAAGAGTGTAATTAAATGATAATAATAAGCAAAATATTAATTATATTTTTTATTAAATTATTTATTAGAATCTTTTTTTAAACAATCGGTTTTCTAACATCTGATAGTTCGATCGAAGTAAAAAAATATTCAAAGACAAGTGCATGTTAAATCGCACACTATAACATGAATAGTAGAATAGAGAAACATAAAAAATCGAATAAAACGGAGTTAAAGAAAGAAAGAGGAAGAGAGAGAAAGTTAAGGGGTACAAAACGAGAAAAATGAAACGCTGAAACTCGGGAACGACTTTCCGTCGAGAGTCGCGACTTTGGGAATATTTCTTTAGCCGGGCAGAGTTACATGCGGGTGGTAGCTGTTGGGTGACGAGATTTGTAGAGTGTCTGTTTGCTTGTTTGGCCGTTTACTTTGGCCACCAGCAGAGGAAGAAAGTGCGTTGGCAGGCGCGAAAACAGCGCCAGAAGGGATACCGACCTATATGCAAAGTAAAGTTACGTCCCATCCAGTTTGTAAAAGATATAATAATATGTTGGAATAATTTTTTAAGAAATTCTACATTATTTTTTTTTATATGAATAAAAAATGTACGAAGAATAATTTCCTGTTCGTTATCTTAACAAATTCCAAGCTACAATGATAATTTTGAACATTGAAACAGTAAAAGCAACGAGAAAAATAGTTGGCTATCTGCCTTTGGCTGAGAAGAAAGTCCCTGAGTGAAAGTCTAAACTAATGCGGAAATCGATCCATTGTAGAGAGTGAAAACTATACTAGTGAAAAGTGTACTGTAAATACTTTCGAACACGTGCACCAATGCTGAAAAACTCATGTATATTGTCATCACACATGTTGAGTTATTTCTATATTTATTATTATATATATTTTAAGCGATTTGACTTATCGCACAATAATTTTTTGAACAATTAAGTAATATTCACTTTTCATGCACTTTGAAGAGATAGAAAAAAATGATGGACATTTAAATTATTTTTATTATTGTGACTTTGACTGTCACCGATAATGATGAACATGAAATGCGGCAGTTATTATTAATATACTGGTTCGCAAAGTGCATTCTAGCGCGATGAGTTAAACATGTAGTTAATATTACCTCAGTTGATACATTGCAGCGATAGTTTAGTCGACGTTCTGGATGCTCGATTACACAAGCGATACACGTGGATCGAGTAAATCGTATGAAGTTCATTTGCAACAAATTTCCGGCACGTGGATAATCCCACGCGATGGAGAAAATATAAAATATATCTATCATACTTTTCGAATATACTTATTGTTAGTACATGTATGTTGTGATACAATTTTAAGAAAAAAATTAAGAATTTGTTTAATGATTAGTTATATAAATATCTTATATCTTTAAAAATTATGTCGTAAGTTTTATTAATTAAAAATTAATAATCTAATTATATATTTTATCTGATTCTTTTTTCAATCAATATTTCATATACCTCATCATAATTAATAAAAAATTTATTATCATATGTTAGAGGCTAACAAAATCGGTATTTCGCGACAAAAAGAATAATAAATTTTTTATAATTATTAAAATAAAATAAAAATAAATACTTTGTATATGATATATTAAAAAAAATTGAAAACAATTTTCGTCGAAATATTACACTTGATAATTAATTAACTAATAATCAGTGATGAATAAATATTCTCTTCCAAGTGATTATTAGTGCTGCTTGAATTTCATCAAATACGCTTTTGCATTATTCGGTGTGCGAATGCACGAAATGATGTGTAAAATTATTGTCAAATAACGCTTGACCAATAGGGAGTAAATAATTGCACAGTATACGATGCTATTTATGAAATAAATTACTCAAATCATCGTGATAATCAATAGTTTATCTTTCTTTCTATTCCATTAGTTGTTTATTTTCCAATGTCCCGTCAACCTGTATCTCTTATTTTCATTTTATAGCAAACATCGCACATGCGTGAGTTTGCTGTTATTTTATTTAACTAGGGAGTGTTTTTCAACGACGACATTAGCATATTGAAATATCTATGCGAAAGAAACACATTTTATCTTTTTCCTGCGCAAATTCAATTTAATTTTAACGGAATAAAATGTCATTATTAATATCGAAAAATAAAGAATTGATTTACGAGAACGTGAATGAAAAAATGAATAAAAAGCTTGCACGCGATTTTACGAAGTGAAAACTGCTATTGTAATGGTGTGTTTGTTAAGGCGAAAAGCGGGGAGAAAGAATTTACGAGCAAATTGTTGTTACGAGATAAAGATTACATGTCGAGCAATAAAAATTATTAATTCGATTACATTATGGCGCGGGGAAAAATTTTACGATATTTAATATCCATAACAGCTTATTTTTCCGACGGAAGTTCGATAATAAGCCACTTGCAATTTTCAACAAAGTTTCCGGACGGAAAACCTCTCGTTTATCTACTTGCTGTTGCAACGTTGACGAGCACTACGCGCGCAAGTAATTTATTCCAGTGGAACTTTTTAATATTGATAGAATACGGATGGATTATTGTCAATTTTCCCATGCCGACACCTGAAATCACTTCACAATCTGCGCTCGATTAATTAAAAGCTCAAGAAAATATCGCCGTTTGAAATAATGATATAATGTGTCTTAATTTTTACTATTTTTGAATTTTTGCTTTTCATCTTTTTTACCTAAAATTTCTTTCCTAAAATCGGTTTTTAGGGATATTTTAACTTCATAATTTTTTCTTAGCCCTTCAATTATATGTATAGTCTTACGATACATTCTCAGAAAAAGTAACAATTATAAATTTGTAATGAAATCTAATGTAATATTTTACATCTCACAGTCTTTCAAGAAAACTTCTTTACATAAAATAATTAAAACCGTATATATTGCTATACATGGTGCTTTAATTGTGGACATTATTCTCGCATAATAAATGACTGAGGTCCGGTTTATTTGATATCTCCTGGAATTATATTTTATCTCTTAACATGATGCTTTTTATTATCAACTCGTTGGCAACACAATATTAGGCTATTCACGCTTGTCGCTTTCACTTGTAATATTTTATGATTTTACTATTCCTGTTATAAGATAAATAGGTCAAGCTTGTCTCTTTTTCTTGGATTTATTGCTAGCTTCCTTACCATTACATATTTTCTTCGTCGTACCGCGTCGCATTCTTCCAGTAAAATTTCCTATCTCTAGAATTCTCTTTTATCTGTCTTGAACATGACGCTGTACAACTGCTCCGTTTTATAATTTGCTCATAATTGCTTATCACTTTAATTGCATTGATTATAAATAACATGATCACACATTTATACTAAACTACGATAAAAAATTAACTGAATAAACTTTGAAAATTATCTCTTGTGAAAATAGAAATCTTTATGGAAGAAAATAGCGTTTTTATTATAATAAATATAAATTATTTAACAGAGAGAAAGAGGGAGAGAGAGATTTGTAGTAAATGCTAATGGGTTTTATGTAAGTACATAAATTTATGCTAAGATAAATAAAGCATTACACGAGTCGTAACTCATTCCTCAAAAAATGTTAATCAAAATTATTTCATAAAATCATTTCATATTTCATATTTTATATCATTTTGGATATATGTATATCACTTTTTAATGCTCTCTATCCAATAGAATTAAAGATCTTTTATCACAATTACAAATTTCATTCAAACGTATCATTGCGCACAGTGTAACGAGAAATGGGATAATTGAAAATTAATAACTCGAATTATATATGTAAACGAAATTGTTTCAATTCATACGTTTGTCGCACCCTAATTAATTTCCTATAACTCACTGTCCCATGTAAATTTTGGAAATAATTTCAAAAACAATTTAATTTAAAAAAAAATTAATTTTCTAATATCACTTTTTTATCTAAATTCAGCAATTGTGCGTGATTTTATTCATTTGAAATGAAAAAGAATCATTATAACAATCAAACACGAATAAAATTGATTATCTTAATTTAATATCATAAATTTTTTCTTGCCGCAGATTAATAATTTGCCATGTTTCTTCTTGGCAGCGATGAAATTGTAATCGATATCTATCGCAATTATTCTCTGACAACGAAAAATGGAAAACCTATGTTTCTCATATATATATATATATATATTTTTTAGAATAAAAATATTTAATTAAGTCAAATCGGTAGTAACAAAAAATGTTATTAATTTTGTAAATGAATAAATAAATGCCTGCTATACAACGTGCATAGAATATTTCTTTTATTCAATTAGCAGGTAAATATTGTTGCATTTTCATGATATCAAGCTACGCAGGCAAGCCTCGCATATTGCAGAATGTAAAAACCTCTAAATCGAGTAGCTTATGCAGCAGCTGGGACAGAAATTTCTGCAGAAGTATCATTGTCCTGTTTACCCACCGTACGTCGCGCTGCCGGCTATTTTTAACAAAAATTCATACAAAAATATCGCGCATGCACGCATCTAGTTGGCTTTATTGAAAGCCATCGAATGTGATACACGTTTTCTATGATATTTCTAGGCGTACGAATTCAAGAACCAAAATAGCTTGTTATCTGAAGATCGCAAAATGCGAAAACAATAGTTTCGCGAAGTCAGTTCTTATTTTGCTCAAGGGGATTTATTCGCAGAGGAAAATGCATTCGAGAGCGTCTCCTCATCGCGCCAATTCGCTCTCCTCCAAATTGATCGATTCAATCAACGTCTACGTCATTATTCTGTAAACTACCGGATAATCATCTCGACGCGCACGATATTAAGCTCCGATCACGAGATTAATCAAATTCGCTCGGTGCGAGTCGTCGAACGGTATTCGCTTTGTTGACGGATCGTAAAAATCATCTGACGTTACGCTCGCGGTGCGTTTAAGCGACATTCATACGTTAGGCAATAAATTATTCCAGGCGGAAGCGCGCGTCGAGGAAATGAAACGCAGAAGTGGACGAACGGAAAATAGGATGGAATATAAAGTTCGTTTCATACGCATTTCGCATTCTCGAGCTTTATTTTGCCAACGAAGCGATTTATACGTTACGCATCATACATATTTCTCGCGTATTTGGTCTTATTATATGGCGACTGCGTACACATCCATCATCGTATCGAACGCTATCGCTATTGTCGTACAGCTGTACATTATTTATATGACACACCTATCAAACAATTCGGAAGTATATAAAAAATATAGAAAAAGAGAAAAGAGAGGCATGTTTTATGTACATGGTACATTAATCGCTTTAATAATGTATGCGAGAGTTATAAAATATGCGCTGCACGCACTTTATGTTAGAACAATAATAGTATGATATGTGTATTTTTCCACAATATAAATTATGCTGTCACAAACTAAATTAAAATAAATCATATTCTTGGAATTATTTTTGTTTTATTTTTTAATTCAAACGTACTATGTGGCATCATAATTGCTTTGAAAAAACCGTAAACTTTTAATTTCTTTTTTAGACAAGATAGAATATCTTGAATCGCAAAAAAAAACATTTTATTTTAATGATTTGCAAATTAAGAAATCTATCCAATTTTTTGATTATTAAAGAATTTAAGAATTATTTAGGAATTATTATATTTAAAAAGTGTATTTGTAAATATATGTAATTTTTGTGTGGAAAATAAGGCAGAGATATATTTATTTATTTTTAAAGCTCTTATAAAAATTTGTAGATATATAATTATCGAGGCACGCACATATAGAAATAGAGATATGAAGAAAATGTCATTCAATGCCAACTAATGTTACTTGCACATAGAAGTTCGCATGTATGTATATAAAGAAGCGATTCTTGTTAATTCAACGTCACACGTCTATGCATTTAATTTGCAGTCGCGAGACGCATCTCCACGTTTCGCCAAGTCGCGTACGTTCCGCCTTGTGACGTTTATTCGCTTTCCATAAAGCGCATTCTGCGACGGCGACGGCGAATTGACGTCACTGTCGAAAAATTGCCAACGGTGCGGTATGCAAATGGCGTATGTATTTTTCACGAACGTCGTACGTATTTTATCGTTTCAGGAGGCGCTTTTCAACCCGAATTCTCCGGCCCTATCACCAATCTAACCGTACCACTCGGGAGGGACGCCACTTTCACGTGTCTGGTAAAACATCTAGGAGGTTACAGGGTAAGTTGTATGAAAAGACGGCGTGCCTGTGATGTCGTAACGCTCGCTTAACTTCTTGGGGTTTCACTTAACTTCTGAAAGGATGCGCCTTTAAAAAATCATATCTCCTGTACTAGGATAAACTTTCGTGGCTTTCGTATATGCACCGGTACCGATAACGATTATAAAAATCTGACAAAAATAGTAGAAATAAATGGAATAAAAAAGAGATATAATATGATTACATCATCAAAAGATTATATATTAATATGAGATAATATATTAAATATATTAAATATATTATTTAATAATATATTAAATACATTAAATGTATTAAATATATTAAAGATATTAATATGATAATGAATTGAGTAATAAAATATTATTTGAAATATTCATTCTATTACATAAAAAATGATTGATATGTAAATTTCTATAATCCGGAAATTAGCTTTTATCTTTTACAATCAAACGAAGAGGATCTGTAATGAGAAAAGTACATTCGACAAGACACGTACTCGGGAAATACATTTAACACGTTGAATAATCCATTTGTACAATTTTCACGGGCGCAAAAGTCGATGTTAAAATCTGCAAATTCTCACTTAAGGAACTCGAGAGATATTTTTCCGCTTACTTTGCCTTTACTTCTACTTTCAAACCGAGAACTTTTATCAATACACGCGCGTATAAGAAGCTACAAGCGACCCGAACGTTTTTTCCAAAACGTATTAATGAAATCACATGAAGCTAATCTCGTATTTTAATATCATGCTAATAATTTCGCACGCGCACATTTTACGATATCATTCATTATTATCAAATTTGTACTTTCATGCGATAATGGAATTTAATAATATTTTAATTATATCATGAAATTATTCTTTTCACGCATTATCGGTTATCTTCGTTAGTTTATATAAATTGTATTACGCTACGGTGGAGATCAGTATAACTCCAGCAGCAATCGATTATATTATTATCGATTATATTATTGCTTTGATTCACCATAAAATATTTATTCGATCGGATATATTGAAATCTATTGAAATTCGCTATTTCATATTTGACATTTTATGAATCTGTAACTATAAAAACCATAGAAACTATAGATTAGAAGACTCGATTGCATTTCACATCAAGTCGAATCTCTATCGATAGCTCGGTGAAGTAGAAGCAAAAAATCGATATCTGAATAATGTACGCTATTCTATTTTTTAATTAATATTCAATCTTTCTCTCTCTTTACGTTTCTCTGTTTCCATCTTCATTGCATGTCACAGATTGTATAATTATTATTATACCGTTAATTTAATCGCGCGGTACACAACGAGAACATCGATTATATGCAAATAAATGTCAACGCCTCGCGTCGGTCAAATTAAAGCAATTCCAAGCGGAGAATCATGATAATTAAATTTATGTGAAGTACAACTGCGATGTGCTAGAGATCCGTCGTTACCAGACATAGTCAAAAGGTGGTCTCTCCATTTATAGTCCACTTCCTGAGGAAATTTAAAAGTCAAATCGAAAGAGTGACTGACTTACAAGCGATCCACTTTACCGATGTTTTTTTAAACGATTCCATGTTGAGCAATTGCAATATCTATTGAATAAGAGCTTCGATAGTCATGATTAAAGTCGACGAAAGTCTCTTGCAAGCGTCAAATTTACCGTTATTTCTTTTGTATACAAATGAAATTGAGATCAGTTTCTTTACTAATGGAAAAATATATATAATACATAAATATATATACTTTTATATTAAAAAAAAAGAAGAGAAGATTATAAAAAGATATTGCTTCTGTCATCTCAAAGACACGGAGAGATGATTGGATCTTTCTTGCTCCAGAAGACCATCGATACTTCCTTCGTCGGTAGGATGTTTATATAGCCGCTTCGTGAGAATACACATGTGAGAATAATGAGAAAGAGAGAGGGAGAGAAAGTCGCAGCACGTTGGTACCCGGTTTTCTATTACTAGTTCGGGAATAGGCGCGTAACCGTGACTATGTGTGCGTGTGCGTACGTGCGTTCGCTTGCTCACTCGCGTGAAATCGCGAGAGCTCCTCGCTTCGGGATTCGGAATATTCTAAGGAAAATGCAAATATCACTGAAAGTTTGGCCAAGGGGAATCGCGTGTGTCAATCCGTGGGTATGTGTACGTATATATACGTGTACACGTCTGCATGCTTGCACACCTCAGGGATAGGCATCCCCCGCATCTGTTTGTATTCCGTAGTCGGATGCCTGTAAGGAAATTGCGGCGTCTTCGACGAAATCCGCGACGCCGTCACCGCGATTTCCGGCAGCGACTCATCTCTCTCTATTTCTCTCTCTCTCTCTCTCTCTGTCTATCTATCTCTCTTTCGTTCTGTCACCCCTATTAAGGCCGTGATCCAATTGATGTTCCAGGTCGGTTGGGTAAAGGCGGACACGAAGGCGATTCAGGCGATACACGATCACGTGATCACGCACAACAAGAGGGTAACCGTGTCTCACAGCGATCACAGTATGTGGAACCTTCACATCAAGGGCGTCCAGAAAGAGGACGGCGGTCTTTATATGTGTCAGATCAATACGGATCCCATGAAGAGTCAGGTATGTACCTCACTAAGCTTCTGCAAACGATACGGGTCGATATATGCGGGATTGTCGATCTTCCGTCTCCCACAATGAGGCTCTAATTAATCCGCAAAGAATCGATTTTTATTTCAATTATTCGTACGTTTTAATTTTATACAGACTAAATGTGTACTTTCTTAAAATTGTCCGAAATAATACGGTATCGATTTATGGGCCATCGATGCACCGAATCAGCCGGTTCTGTCACAAGTTGTCTCGTGCTTCAATTATAAATTTGCGCCGCTCATTCGAACCTCGAGGACAATGTCCGTTTCGAACATATCGCGCTTTTATTCTCGTCGCCGTTAATATTCACCAGCAGCTAAATCTAACGATATGCAAGTTTCGTGAAGAATATTTCACGATGACATTGCGATGGCGAAGTATCGTTAGGAAGTTCCCGAGAGAGGAAGGAAGAGGGAGAAGGAGGAAATGTTTCTAATGGCAGTTTGCTGCTGTTTTAGGAACGCGCGGAATTTATTTAGAGAGAAGCGGAAATAATTATATTAATAATTAGTACATTTGAAACTTTAAGTATTTTCATTGTACTTCCCTTACACTTATCTAATCAGAATGATACCGCTAATTTTTTTTTAAGTTTTTAAAAGAAATGACAGACACTTGGCTGTCCGTAGAATTATTTTAAAAAAATACATAAAGTTTAAAAATTAAATTATGACAAATAAATTATGACAGTATATATAAATATATATTTATTCATATATGAAATCTTTTCATATAAAATATTGAAATATAGTTTAATTGTGACAAAATTAATAGAATAGCAAAAGTTTCGACACCTTTTAACGCATACCTATATATTTAATTATTACTGATCCCGATACTTTACCTCGACGTAGTAAACTCGGAAATATATAGCTCTTGTTTGAAATTAGCCGTGACAAACCGACAAACTCGGTGAAATAACTAATTGGGATGACCCTATCGACGACTATATTTAGGTCGATAAAAGCATACGAACACGTCCGTCAGTGGTCGAAAGGTCATACGATTCCGAGGCGCAAAAATTCGTCTGTATTATATTCCTCATATTTTATTGAATATTTTATCAGACGATTATTTATGCATTATACGTACATAGAATTCTTACAAACCTTTTGTGCACATAATGAATATAATTCCATTACACATGAATTCAACAACGGTTCTGTTACAATTATAAATTGTATTAAATTTTAATTTTATTTTATAAAAAAAATTTATTTCAAATTTATTTCTTTTTATAAACTAAGATGCATTTTTATAAACTAAAATGCATCAATTATGAAATATCGAAGATATGCTTTTAAAATCTTCTTAAAGTTTCATTCTCGAGATATTCTGAACGAACGGAATAACTATAATAAAAATAGAAAAATGTTAAAAAAATTAAAATTCTTCACATCACGTTTATTTTTTCTCTCATTTTCTAATATTATATACACAAAAAATATATATTATTTCAATATACGTCAATATATAAGTCACGCGGATAAAATTTTGTTACATATTCGATAAGTTTAAATAAATCTATCAACTTCTATTTGATAGAGAGAGAGACAGAGAAAGAGAGAGAGAGAGAAGTCGTAGAATAAGTCGATTCGACTTGATTTATCATAATGTTACAAGGTATATTACCAATAAAATTATAAGAAACGATAATAATGTGTTCTCGTGTGTAAATATTCTACGCTATTTCGCGACAATCGGCTTTAAATGGAATATGACTTCTTGTGCTCCGGTCTGAACTTTACGAAAGACGATGGTTTTTCGATAGAGACTCATAAAAGAGTTACTAAATGCGATTCGTATCTTTAATACTTCCTATATATTGTTCAATAATAACTTGTGCAAAAAAAATGTTCTACATGCCATTAGTGATCTCGATAAAGTCAACGCACAAAAGACTCATATAAAGATTTTATTTAAAAAATATGTATGTGTGTGTGTGTGTATAAAGCCTTATGCTATCATTTATATGAATGTAATATAATTACATTTTAATCGATTATTTTTTTAGCTAAAATTCGAATATTTAAAATATTTTTAAAGACTTATGTTATCATTTATATGAATGTAATATAATTGCATTTTAATCAATTGTTTTTTTAGCTAAAATTCGAATATCTAAATATTTATAATATATTTACATGTCCAACATGTCCAATTTTACATGTGCATATACTACTAATTGTAACACATTAAATAGAAGCAGATATTCGTCGAATAACACGCTTTTCTGCATTGCAGTGAATGGCATGACGGAAATCGGTTGCGATAAGTTGCCGTACAAAACAATTAATCGAGCGATCCGCTGCCAATAATACCCGCATCGACAAAGTGCCAAGATGCGCACGAGTTAATCGATAGTTGCTCAGTTACAGTCGGACCACATCTCACTTGATTCACACAATTAATCATCCCAGTTCTCAGTTTGCTAACTATCATTAACATAATCCGTGGATGTAATACGGGTGTAATACGCGCAATTGTATTCGCATTAGAAATGCAGAGGTCTTTCAGAAATCCTTATTAAATCCTCATCCATAATATATGAAATGTCTCATTTTTATTAAATATATACTTTTTCAAATAGCGATTTATTAAAAAAATAATATTTTTGAGAGGGAAGAAAAATAGATTCACAAAATTCAAAAGTCTGAAGATATTTATTACAGACATATTGATTATTAAAATATACAGAGATACACACCAATCGATTAAAAGCTTTGCAGGCCATGAATTCCTCAAACATGGATAATACAATAATTAACGATAAATAATCTTTGTTTAATGATATTATTGATTTATTTACATTTATGATAAACATATTTATTATCGTATTCATTACGTTCCCGGCGAAACTTTGGGCGAGGTGAACAAGAGAGCGAGAGAATAATATAATAAAGGGAAATAGAGAGAAACCCCTAAAGCGCTCGATTAGAGACAGCAACAGTCGCTGCTGCCTGGTTTGCACATCTCCACACTTTTCGTCGCCTAATCGTCGTCGGTGACGTGCGATAGCGCAAACCGCAGTGGTATTATCCGCCAAGCTCTGCCACCGAGAGTATTAGCTCTGCTGCCGCATAACAATCTGCGCGAGTATCGAAAGCATTTTCACCCTCCGCGCACGGCTGGTAGATCCGTGGCATACTTAACGAACCCGGGAACTTAACGAGCCGTCTTCGCCAGTTCGAGAACGCCGATACCCGTTTATGAATAGCGGCCCGAGTACCGCTTAAATCCTCCACGCGCTCCTCCGCGTGTTATTAATACATATACACGGTTGCGTGTGTGTAATCTTATCAGAAAAGGATCGGAATATTAAGTCGCGTTTAACGACTATTACACGCGACCGGCGTATTAATTCCCGATAAGAAAACGCGATGAGACAGCCGTCTCTAAAGCGTAAAATCGACTTTTGAGTGCGAGGCACGATCGGCGATTAAGGAAGATTACGCGTTTGTATACTTTTCACGCTCGCGCGCGCAAATTTATCGGGATCGAATAATTAAAAATAATCGCGAGTAAATTCTGAAAATTCGCAAAACGCTCGCCTCTTTAAATGCATGACGTTTAAATAATTAAATGGCAATTAGGCGCGCAAAAATGTCGCTTTACGAGCGTGAGAAATTTTTCTCGCGGCACGAAAGACACTTAACGAGCCAATTTAGTTAAGCGCGTCAGTTCCCCGTTTGTTCTTTCTACCTCCAGATAACATTTGCCTTGTCTTTCATGAGATCGGAGTCTAGACCGCGGTTGTCTGGTTGCCTTAAAGTAACAGTTGGCTCGTTCGCCTCTCGCCGGCAAAGTGATATGGCGCGAGACGCCACTGGAAGTCGAGCCGAGATCTAATTTTCCGACATTTCGGATTGAATTCACGCGAGCTCTTCCCTAGTCGCAGTTTCCCTCTTTTTGCAAGAGAGAAAGCTGTAATCTTAAATAGTGCACGGTTGCGGAACGGTAGGTGTCTTACTCGAGTGTCAGTCGCTCTCTTGTCGCTTTCGCTTTACGAAATACCAAGTTGAATAACGAATATTTTGCGAATAATACCGATAAATGCCCTGGAAAATTTATGTAAAAAATAAATAAATATTATATATATATATATATATATATATATAAATATAATAATTATTATATATTTATTATATAGTAAATTTATTATATATAAATTATTATATAATAAATATAATATTATATATATAAATATAGATATATATAAATAATATAGATGTATATAAAAAATAAATATAAATATGAAAAAAAGATTACAAGGAAATTATATAAGTGAAATGTTTTTCTTAAAGATATATAGATTTATAACGAATGTGAAAAATGATTGGCTGAATTCTGCAAATATTATCTAACTTTTATTAATTATTATTTTCTCTTTGCGTATCTCAGTAATTTGTCTTGTTCCTTCTACCTCGTGTTTTCTTGCATATATGTATTGCGTCATATGCTTCGTCCTATGTGTGTGTGTGTGTGTGTGTATATATGCTTTGCACTGGTCTTTACTTTGTAAACTAAACATGTTTTGCTATAAGCAGTTGGAATGCAGACCAGTGACTTGCCAGCATATTCCACAATCAGATTAGAAATAAATCAAAAATATGAATCTTGTTAGCGTATAAAACCAGAAAGAGGAAGAAAGAGAGAGAAGATACAGTACATTTCATATTTTATATTCTCACATTTATAATTATATATAATTATTTATACATTATTTATACATTTATAATTATTTATAATTATATATATTCTGTTATACTATTATATCATAGTATTAGACTTTGATAGAGTTTAGCAAAGGAAGAGACATTTTTCGAAACTTTATATTATCAATATTTTCTTTTGCACTTTGATTAATTCGCCGTCAATCAAAGAAATAAATTACTTCCCGTATGAACTAATTTTTCCTCCGTAAATATAACTTTCTTTCCATCACAGGTAGAGTCATTCCTTTCCCTTTTCTTCCTCATTTACGTGTATATATCAACAGTTAAAACACGATCGTCGCATTTCGCGAAGGATGCGGAGTCTTGCCTCTCATAACTACGTTTCCTCGCTCGTTGCCGAATAAGGCGGCACCCTTCGCGCCTTCGCTTATAATTCCGACTGCGTGTCTGATAAAATTTACGTATACGTACGTAGAGACGTTGGCTTGAGCGTCGACTTGTGCGCCGTCTTTCTTGAAATTTCGCGTCACTTCTTCGGGGTTATCTGCATAATTCTGACGCGACGCGAAACGCGCTGATTTAATCGACTAATTGAATCGAATCTCACGAAACTACCATGTATCCCTTGTAGGTATCTTGTACAGTCTTTCTCTAACGATTCAAAATGAATCGCATATCTTGTCTATGCCCCTTGAAACTAACTCCAAAAGCAACTTAATTAAATATAAGAACTTAATTAAAAATTATCGCGGTTAACTAAAATTTCGTTTTTCACTACATTTGTGATAATTTTCCAAATAAATAAATATATATATATATATATATATATATATATATCATGTTACAATTATTTTCAATTACAATCATATAATCTTTATTCATTATTTTTATTTTACTCGTGACAAATCAAGATAGAAAAATAATAAAGACAATAGATGCGAATTTAATATTTCGTGTCGAATGATATTAATACGAAATAAAATGCACGATATGTATAACTTTTTTTCTTATAATACCTCAGCATGCACAGAATATTTTACAAATACTAAGGAAGGCATAAATATTTTAGTTTCGTTCGATGTACTGTTAATCATTAGAGTATACAATATACATCTTCTCCGTTACGTATATTCGCGATTACGTCGAGAGAAATTGCGCGCATACTTACAGATTAATAGTGATCCTGTAGTGCAAATATGGCTAACGATAATGGATCTCAACAGATGTTGTTTGCGCAAATGTGTTTATTCTGTGATATACTTTGTAAAACTAAATAATCTTGCATATTAATTATAATTGATATCATGTTTACAATATTGATTTACTAAGTTTCTCTTACATTTATCTTTGTGTTTTGTCATATTTTTATGACACACCCATTTATTCTAAATATATTAATTATGATTGTCGTAAAACAGACTTATTTTGTTTTTAAAATAAAGTTTCTTACTTTCGTTTTTATTAAACTAATATAGTTTGGAAAAAAACAAACTTACGGCAAGTCATTATGAATAAAAAATTAGATTATTATTTATAATAATATTTTTAAAAAATGTAAATAAATAAATTAATTAATGCTGATTTTAAAATTGGAGATTGCTGAAAAAATTGAATTATTACTTACAGTGCAATATTAAGAGAGAGAAATGTAAAATAATTAAATTCATTAATTATTACCAATTTTAAAAACGGAGACGAGACTCATTCATTTATCGAGCTGCGGCGAGGACTGATATAATTATTCGCAGACGCGTAATAATTAATTTATACGAGTGCGAAGGAAAGTAGTTTCACAATTCGGTGGCGACACGTATAAGTTTACGCGCTCGGGCACGTGTCTCGTCATCGTCGTTGCTGTGATAGGATAGGTATGTAGGTACATAAGTAGTAGGTACGCAGTTTGCATTCGTCGGGGCTGCAGCGGTGGCTTGCCAGACAACTCGGTTATAACGATTGAAGTTTCGTCGTGGCGTGGATTACATCCTCGTAATTGCGCGTACACTTCGTGCCTCCGCGTCTTGCCGAGAGTGAGAAAGAGAGAGAAGGCGAGCGACGTGTGGAGTTTCCTTTAAATCGCGAGTGAAACAAGGAGAATCGAGGGGGAGGAGTGAACACGACGGGAAAGATATGGAGAAGTGAAGGAGAAACAGGGAAGAGGTCCTTGCACTCGTACCGACGTCTCGTGGGTTGACGTACGACCGCCGACAAAAGTCCCCGACGTCGAGATGTTCGAGATGTTGAAACCTCCTTCACTTTCTCGATTCTCTACCGTCTCCTCGCTTGAGAATTATAACGTGATAACGCCTTCGCGTGCTGATAAGCGTCGAATGTATAGTTGCACAATGCTTTGTCCTGAAGGATTATTTTGCACCCTACAGGAAAATGTGCCACATATCCAGCATTTTGGCGACAAGTATTATTCGGCATTATCTCTGAACAATAAGCTATAAAATTCTCATAGCAGAATTTAAAGCGAAATTATCGATAATAATAATTATCGATATTAATTAATCGATAAATTCTACTATATGATAAATCCTGAAATTATATTTAATGAGCTTTATTGCTATAAAAAATAATAGATATTTGTGTAATTATTCTTATTTTCATGCTGAAATAATACTTTTTTTATTAAGAACAAATCAAAACATTATAATTGTTAAGAAATAATCCTTTTATCTTTTTAGTTAAATTATTAACCGAACAAATGGATTACAATTGAAAGCCACAATTTTTGGGCCACGTGACTTACGTAACCACACACGTGACTGAGTTGGATAATAGTGATTGTGCTGACTGACAGTTATAATATTTAACGATACTACCAGTCGTTAATTAACGAATAATCCACGATATAAACAGGCAACGTCAGCAGCTAGCATGGCCATAATATTTTTAGCGTTACCCCAACGCTAAAAGTCGGAGTAAAGTCGGGTTTAAAGTATATCGGAAACAAGATACTTACTCGAGATTTACAGACGCTCGCATCCAATTGCCTTACAACCATATTATAATCTACTAATGCAATGAAAAACGTAAAAGCTGATGTGAGTAAAAAAGCTTCCGCGAATCTTCCTTCTGTTATACTCAGAATTTAATGAGTCGATGATATTATCACGTTTTTGCGAAATGCAGTTATTCAATTCGTCTTAAGAAATTAAGTTACATTCCACAGAGAATAGAAATACGTCTGTTTTCATTAATTCCGCATTTTTATTTACGTCCGTTTTTCCGCTCTTCCAGCGAATCCGGTTATTTTAAACACTATTTCCATAGCAGCGTCATACGCCGCGACGAGGGAAATAAAGCGAGCTATATGTCATCATCTCTGATTCGCTTGTTGTTATCAACGCTCCACGTCGGATGAGCCACATTTGCGCGCAATGCCGTATCATATTAATGGAAAAAAATATCGCTTCTCTCTCACTCTTGTTCGCAATATATCGCGTAAGTTTTTGCATGGTATGATTGAAGTTAGAGACATAATTATAGCTCTGGCTATGCGCTTTGTAGAATTTATCCCTTTCAAACCATCACCGTGAAATTCGTACGTGCGTTAATTAAAATTTGCCAATCACGAAAAATCTAGACGGATCACGCGATGTAATATTCTCACATTTGAATAGTCCCATTGCATTATTTGAGATTGTGAACGATCCGTGATAAAAAAATTATGTATTTCTGTTAAGTAAATTAAATGCGAATTTATAATAACAGTGAAATAAAATAAGAGAAGAGAAATATTATATAATTTCATTTTTTATTATAAAATTAAAATAAAATAGCTTTAATATTAACAAAGTAAATTTGAATTTACCATCGTCCTCGTTGAATTTATATTAATACTAATTACAAATCATCTCTTTTTTTCAGACAGGTATGCTGTCGATTGTCGTGCCGCCTGATTTCGATCCTGACGCTACATCGAGCGACATGATGGTAGGCGAGGGCGGCCAGGTGAATATATTTTTTTATTTTGCGTCACTCTAATTTTGATACAGTTTTGATTTCAATTATCAAGGGAAGATCTTTAATTAATTAAGAATTAACAATCTTCTTCTTATAATAATTGATATATTATTTTTTACATTATTATTCTATTGAAGTCGAACGTCAATATTGATCGAATGTTGCTTTCGAGCAACAATTAACTTTCGACTCAATTCCGAAGAATTCATCCGCGGGAATAAATTTGCGGATAAATATGCCAGGAAGAAAGATGCGCTGTGGCACGACTAGGCCGGAGGTCGTTAAATAATTTACCCCGCACAGAAGCCGTCATGAATAAACGATGGTTTATTACTTACAAATGTGGGCTGATTTACGTCTGTAGTAAATTATCAGGGCAACGTTATTCCGCTTGATTCATGCCGGAGAAATCTATATCGGAGAAGGGCAATACGCGCCACGAGTGTGCAACGGTTCGCGGCTGAGTCTACAAATAACTTGCAACTTCCGCTATTCGTCGTCATTAATGTCTTGAACACGAGATTGGTGTTACTGCTAAGATGCTTAAATCGTCAAGTCCATAATGATACCGAGTCAAAAGTATTAACTTTGAAAGTACTTGTATATGCGGTGTTACCATTAAATCTACAAACTAATTGTTATATTTAGAGAGATGTCAGGTGCAATTTAAACATAAAAAGCGAATATAATATATTATATTGCATTTCATAATGTAATTCACAGTAAGTGTACACCTGTTGCAAGTACTATTTTAACATTATTATACAGCAAACTCGTAATTTTAATTAAATGTCTTCTTATTATTAATAACGCTTTAATTATAATTTTATTATTATGTCACGTATTTGAAGACAAAAAAAGCGCGAGATTTTAATAATTCTTCTTCTCCGAAAAAGGAAATATGAAAAAGCTGTGCTCTCGCGACTTGTAATTGATTATAAGTAATTTATCGAAGCTGATAATTTGCTTCACTACGAGGACATGACATCGTACACGTGTTGTAACCAATCTTGACGTTCGGCACGGATGTAAGTCATCAGTGGAAATAAGTGACCTGTTGCTCACAATTCATATTCCGTGGCAGCAGCGCAATTTTAACGAATATCTCATCTCATCCTCGCGTTTTTCCGCGCGCATGGCGGTGTCGCTCGGATAAAGAATATTGCGCTTCTCTCAGAATGTCTGACAGACGCTTTACGAAGACGCGACAGCACAACGGAGCCCCACTACATCTCGTGGACCATTTTAAACTTTGAAATTATACCGACGCGCATTGCGAGTCTTCTTATTATTATAAGCTTCCGCGGTTGGTTATACACTGAAAATTGTACTACTGTCAGTTTGTATAAGTTACTTTCTACGTCTTTCGACGAGATTGTCGGGACACATGTCCAAATATCGTATCTCTTTGTTGCAACAAAGAATTGTATAGTCTGTTTGAAATCTATATTTTATTTACTTGGAAAATTGTAAAATTACATCGCGATTATTCTGTTGCGACAAAGTGAAATTTCTATCTTGTTTTTGAAGAAAATTTTAATAAGTTTGTATTCTCTAAAATATTCCAGCGGATATTAAAGTGTATATATACACACTTTAATATCCACTGGATTTTAGAAAATACAAACTTATTAAAATTTTCTTATATATATATATATATATATATATATATATATATTAAAATATTTTGAAAATAATTTTTAAAATATAAATTAATAATTTTCAATCATTTTATTTCTGCTAAATAATTTCTGCTTCATGTAAATAATTATCCTTAATTTGATATTGACAGATACGATATCCAACAACAATAAATCCTAAATGTAATTGTCAATTGTCACAGAGCTCAAAAAAAGTTAGAATTTTCGTTTAGCCAACGCGCTAGAAAAAGTTCATAAAAAATTGAAATTTCAATCGGGATTCGAGTTTGTGAATTCGTTTCCTGGCGGCACAGTCCGACTCCATCAAGATAAATAAGTAATTTTGCCGGACTATAACTATTACTACTCCCCTTTTTCTCTTTCTTTCCTTTTCTCTTGTGTGCTTCCCACAGTTTATTACGTAAAAAAATCTAACAAATCACGTAAACAAATCAAAACTTGCAAATTTTTCACATGTCGCTCTTCATCATGCAAATACGTTATATTGTATCTAAATATCGTATATCTAAATAATTTTAATATGTAAAGTTACATTTTTTCAAAGTTACATTTTTAAATTCAAAGTTTTTTTCTTAATTAAAGATTGATTCTTGACAAACTCTTTTCGTATAAGTTTCTTCAAAGTCTCTTGGAACGGAAGGTACTCTTTTAAAGAATATTTAATTGTTGTTAAAATTTTACCTTTCGAATTATGATGCTTTCAATATATACATTTTTCTTGTCCGTGTAATTATTTATTATATTTCGAAAATTTAACATAAATTTAACTTAAAAGAATTTATGTGAAATTCATCAATTTACCCACTTCGATGAAATCGATATTTCTATTTTACGTCAGATACAAAATTAATAACAGAATGATATTGTGACATAAATAATAAAAATATTAAGAACGTTATTTTCTTAAATCTTTAAAAAGTATCTTCAACAAATCAGAGGTTGTAACGGCACAATCAACATTTTACAAGTATCACACTATGTTTAATTATTTTATATAAATAGTGAACACTAATTTTAATTCTCCAAATGTTTTTTCGAAAAAAATCAAGTGAGCAATACTCAGTTCATTTTTTTTGGGTGTGAGGTAGTTACGCGAACTGTACGATATGTATGTAATAACTTACATTACACCTCGGAACCGTGCTAACACGATATTCATCTAAAAACGTCACCGATATTGCAAACCAGCAGGCAGCATGTCAGTAGAATGCCCGGCCAACAAACAGCGCAGTATGCTGCGACACGTGTCGTGTCGTTAATTGTCAACACGCCGTTTATATTTTCCATTGTAGAGCACACAGATATTCATTCCGCGTACGTGTTTTGCAACTCGTAACCCATCCTATTCTTCGCGTTCATTTCAAATATCCATAACTCGATAACTGATGAGAAACGAACCGATATGTATCCATAATGGACGGATCCGGAAATCTGCTAATGCATCGCAAATGACAAATTCGAAAAATCAAGCCGATCATTTCGTGGCGTCCGATTTCGTTCGTTCGAAAATAGCTTCGTATCGCTCCGATTATTCGAGCCACCCACAAGCAAAAATATCGTTAAACTGAGCATCCGTTAACGAGAATTCGAGAAGGCTTGATAAAATTGGCCGCGCGAGAGCACGCGGTAGAACTAATAACCGTCCAGGAAAAAAAAAAAATCCCAACGCCGGATATTTCATGCCCCTCGCGACCATAGATTCGTTTTCCGCTCGAATATCCGCGCGAGCCGCCATTGTTTCGGACAAACGTTCCTCGTGTACGTGTTTTACATAGAGAGACGGAGTCTGTGCACGCGCGCCCGCATTTTCTCCCTCCCCTCCCCTCCCTCTCTCTCTCTCTCTCTCTCTCGTTTATATTTCCAAATATATATTTGGATGAAGCACGGCATTAGAGTGGAGTGCAATAACGAACTCGCTTCTCTTTATAATTCCGGTTTCATAACACGTACAGGTGAAGTTAACGTGCCGGGCGAGAGGCGTACCCGAGCCGCGCGTATCCTGGCGCCGAGAAGACGGCAGGAACATTATAATTCGGGAGCCATTTGCAGGAAGCGCCCCGAACCAGAAGTCTCACGGTAAGATTTAATATAGATGGCACGCCCTCGCACCGTCGCCCGCGCCGCGCCGACGTTCCGATATAGAGCGCGGAATATACAATTATGTTTTCCTTAGGCGCGCATACCGCGCGCCCGATCCCGTTAGTATTCAAATTCCCTCATTACGAGCCGCCGTTTCCGTACTTTAAGACGAATTTCGCCTGGAAACCGATTCCCGCTGATGCTCCGAAATAATGCCCTCCCCTCCCCCCCCCCCGCGATCACCGCTTGAATGGCCGCGGCCGGCCCGGCCGCCGACATCCCGCGGATCATTAAGCCGTAATGTTGAATTTCATATTGGGCCAATTATGAAACACGCGCCGTCTGCCTTTCTTGTTTTTTCCCAACCTATATCTGTGTTAAAAGAGAAGAATCGCAATTTATCGAGAATTAGCTTAAAGATATGTATCATGATTATAATTTTAATTATTAAATTCTATTTCCATCAAATGAAAATCTATTTGATATTCTCTTATTGAATATTCTCTTATTTCTCTTAGTTCCAGCTTTTAGAAACGGTCTTTCATTTGTATATCAAACGGATGTAAATTGGATTATACATTTAAAAAATGAAGCTTAATGATATGTATCACGATTATGATTTTAATTATCAAATTCTATTTCTATCAAACGAAAATCTGTTTGATATTAATTCACTTATTTCTCTTATTTCCAGCTTTTAGAAACGGTCTTTCATATGTATATCAAACAGATGTAAATTGGATTATAGATTTGAAAAACAGAAAACGCAAACGTTCGGCGGAGTAAAAAATCACATGCGTGTTCCTTAAAGTAAGCATTTGTAAAATAGCGAGTTATAAAATGATCGGGCCATTGATCTCGCAAACCATCTCGCTTCGCTCTCAACCTTGCAAGACCCAGTTAAACGATGTATTTAGTATTCACTTCAGCGTGGCGTTACTAATAGCAAGCAAATTTCACCGTACTGTCGACGCGGTCCACAGCAAGGATGCATGCCGTTGCAACCGATGGATGCAGCGTATGCTGGGCGCGATCTTGCACCTCCGGACGACCCAGCTCGATGGGTTATTGTCGGCATTACAATCGCAGTGATTATCGAAGTCATGCTTAAAGAATCGGTCCCGTGATCACTGTCTAACCGTGCGGAATTTCGTATTAAATTATTAAAAGATAAATAAACGAAAAGTCAAAAGCGAAACGTGACGTGGAATTTTTAATTTTGCTTGTCCTATAAAATATATTTTTGATATTCGTCATTTTTAAATAATGATTCATCATCATTATAAATTCTTTTATTTATTTAAAAGATACACCGTCCTCATAAAATGTGACGTTCTTTAAAAATATGTTCTTTTTTTCATCTGCATTTAATTAATTAAGAGCGCTCATATTGTTTCACATTATTAATAGACCAAGTAGAAAACGCGGAGAGACTCCAGAATCTTTGGGGAAGTTAATGTTTTTGCAAGCCAAGTTGCGACGTAGTGTAACGAGGCCGCAGGTGAGGGAGGTTCATGCGTTTGTTTACGATATTTCGCGACAAGGAATAGCTGCAGGTGCAACAAATTGCGCTTGTCTTATCCGCGTGCGCCACTTCGCTGTTTGCATCTAAAAACACTCATCGGTGTATAATATATAGAGTCTCTTAAATTGTTTATCTTCATTAATTTATACCGAGGCAATATTAAATTTCATGAAAAGTATATATACATTTCTTTGGCATTATTTTATGAAGATATGAATAAATTTGCAAATCGTGAATGTGAATTCGTATTGAAAATGTACCACGCGAATGTAATATGTATTGCGTGCTTTATAATAAAATATTGTAGAAGCATAATTAGCGCGAATATAATATCATTAAGCGCGTTTGTTATTTTATTGATCATCACCCGCTTTTGTAATAGGCTGTTCGCTTTATATTCTTTTTTCATTTGTCCATATTTAATGATTGTTTTTCGTTAAATAACAAGCACCAAAAACAATAAATTAACATTTAAGTTTCTGCTGTAAAAACATATTATTAAATTAGTATAATTATTATGCAATTATTAGAATAAAATTAGTTTGAATAAAGCAAAAGAGCGGCATCCTCCCTCTATCAAATTAATTATTAATTTTATTATTCTTTTTATAATTATTCCTTTCTCGATGAACTGAAATAATTCTATATTTCGTATTCTATTCGTTCAATTATTCGTTCAAATATTCGTATTCTAGTCCATTCAATTCTATATCGTATTTTATCTCTTGATTAATCACAGTAAATAGTTTTCTTTCTTTATATATCTAATATATTTAATATATACAAAACTTCTTGTAATAATAATTATTTGTAATAAGTATTTTTTAAAAAGAATAAAATATTATTAAATTTTAATATATAAATTTGTAATCCAATTTACAGAAATTAGCTGAAATACTTGAAATTTATTAAATTATTTCTGTTATTGTATAAAATATAAATATAAATCGTACGTATAAATTAGGTCGATATTTCGAAAAAGAAGTTTTGCCTTACATGAAAAAAGTCTTACTGCTTAAAACACAAGGAGAATGCTGTGGTCAATCTACATATCGAATGTGCTCGGTCTTATTCGACTTTAACGCTACATCGTTCTCAGTGTCTTCTGTGACCGAGTTTTTGGGCGAGGAGCTGAAACTGACGAAGATTTCGAGGAACGAGATGGGGGTTTATCTGTGCATCGCCAGCAATGGGGTTCCGCCCGCGGTCAGCAAACGTATTTATATCAACGTTCATTGTGAGTAATAGTGATTACCGTTCGAATCGTTGGACCGGATACCGTGTACCACGGTTCCTCTATGCCAAGAAATGCAACCATATCTTCCAATTTCGATTTACAGTTCCGCCGGTGATTCACGTACCCAATCAGCTGGTCGGTGCGCCCTTGGGGACGGACGTGGTCTTAGAATGTTTCGTCGAGGCGTCCCCGATGTCGATTAACTATTGGGTCAAGGATCCGAAGGGTGAGATAACATTTGCTAAAAAAGCACTTTCGCACCGCATGCCTATTGTTTCGCTATCGAGTGCTATCGCATCGCGATATTTTAATATAATATATATGTATATATATATATATATATATATATATATATATATATGTATTACGTAATTATCACCTTTTGAAGATTTCATAATGTTTATCAATTTCATCATTCAAAATATTGCCTGTGCATTCTTTATTATTTATTGTTTATTGGTAATATTTGTCAATTTGTTCATGCAAACTGTCGTAATTATTCGCATAAATTGATTCGAAACTGTATAAATTGCATTTTGATTGCTATCAATATTTCAGTAATTTTAGATAGAATCTCTTAATGAACAGCAAAAAATTCATGAAGGAAATAAATGTTTATTTAGAAAAAAATTAAAAGAGAGAAAAAATATACATTATTAGAGAAAGATATTTGTTATACACAATAATACTGATGATTAGATTCTTTCGGCTATTTCTTGAATTATACATGCATTATAAATACAATTACTACGATGTTAGGAGCGCTCAAAATGCAATTTATAAAATAAATTGACTTATACGACAATTTGCTAAATATAATTCTTATATAAATGATCATATATATATAACTAAAGTCTATAACTTTAGAAATCCTATAAGAAACTTTATAAGACTTCAATTTTTAATATCGCTTGATACGTACATACAATATTTCTTATCGAGATATATTTCAAATTATATTATTAACTCAATTCTCTTTTTTTCATCAAGAAAATGTATTAATCGTAATAATAATTAATTTATGCTAAATTTTCACTTTCACAGAAAATGAAATTATCGTTTGCAATAGGTATAATTTATGGAATATCTTTCAGTTCGTATATATATATATATATTGCGAACGTAATCTATATATCTGTGTTTGGTCAGCACACCGCTACCACAAGTAGTACAGTCCGTTACAGCGATTGGCTTGTTAACTAATTACTGACTGTAACTAACGGAGAAACGCTCGAACGTTAATTACTCTTGCATGACAAATCCGATTATAGACCGTACTTTAGTTTAGGTGATTCCGATAATAGACGTATCGTGTTGTGTTTGAATATCGTCAGTTTCAAGAAATTTATTCGCGTAATTGGGAACGCGTTCAAAGCTCTTGTAAATAAAAAGAAAACCCGACATTTTTTTTTCTCTTTTATACAAAATATATAAAATTCAAAATAGAAAAATTTTGTGAACAAATATCAACTTTTTCTAAATGCTTTTGTATAAATTTATCGAGATATAAAAAACAAATTCAGGTATTGTAAATCGCGCATATGTCAACGAACAATAGCGCTATATTGCAATGACGAATATATCTTGATTCAAAATTCCTCAAGAAAACTTTAGATAGGGAGAATGCTACTTATCTCTCCTCAGACTCGCGGAAATATTCCCGCAGTGGATTTCGCCTCACAAGAGCCAGACGTCCTCCCGGTTTAACACACGCTGAGCTATCCAGAGTTCCTCGCTCCAATGCATTCGTATGCAATTTCGTCTCGCGTGGAAGATACCTTTCACTTGTTTCATTATATGCAACTGTTTCAACGTGTAATAAGAAAGCGTAGCAGGAAACGGGCGAGATGTCTTATTTATAGCAAGAGACGTAACCTCTTATCTTCAACTGCTATGCATAATATCTTAGAAAATATCTCCGAATTTAATTGAAATAATTGAACAAATGAATATTGTCTGATTTATAAAAATGCGTGATATATGTCGAATATTATTTAAAGAATAGTTTTATTGGAACAAGTAAATATAACCATATTCGAGCCAACGAGTCTGGGAAGTTCGTAGAATGAAATTAAAAATTTTATGAAATAACTACATAGGATAAATTATAATTATAATTCATATTTTGTGTAGATATATCTGTATGAGAAAAGTTTGTGTAATATCTATTTCCAGTCTCTCTCAGTCTCTTTTCTTCCGTTGCATAAAACACTCTCTGCATTTTTCTGTGAAATTCATAATGAAGGTTTTTTTGCCGCATATTAATCGAGAAAAATGCTGGGCGCGCAAGCTCGAAGAGAAATAACGTGCAATTTTCTATCCATCGGACACGGAATAATTAAGTATGCTCTACGCTTTTGTTCCCAAGGTGCGATGATAATAACTAGCGTCAGGTACGACGTGCAAGCGGTGCCGAAGTCGCCGTTCGAGGTCCGGATGATCCTCACCATCCGGAATCTGCAGAAACACGACGTGGGAACGTACAAGTGCGCGGCCAAAAATTCCCTCGGCGAGGTCGAGAGCAATATTCGATTATACGGTGAGTACACAGCGCGTTTTCGACCGTTATCAAACGAAGTTTTCCGGGGAGCCCATAAAGAATACCTAATTCGATTACTCGACGGAACGCAGTCAAAACGGGGAGAATTGCGTTATCCGCGCCGCATTTCGTTTCACTGCACGTGTACATTTGCGGATAATCCTACTTCTCTCCCTACTCTTCGCTTTTTTTTTTCCTCTCTCCTTTTCTTTTCTCTTCCCCCTTTTTGTTCCTTTAGATAGTCGTAACGCTAGGGATTAAGATTCGTACCGTGAAATAAAACCTGCAAATAGATCCGTAGATAATTGCACGGGAGAGGTCGACGGTGAGAGGTTTGCCCTGTAAACTGTGAATGAATTATTGTACCTTATAAGTAGCCCGCCGGGATTAATTTTCTGCACGTTACAGCTGATAACAACTATTTCTTTGAAAAGAACGTTGCTTCTCAGAATCTATTAATAAGAATCAAATTTACTTGACAAATTGCAGTAACAAACAAAATTTTTATCAAATTTTAAATTCTTATTAACCATAAAATCGCAAATCAAGGTCTTGCGAAAATAAAATGCTGTACAATATTTAGTGAATAATAAAATTCTGTTATATTATTTTTCAAATTTGATTCGCCAAGTTTTTCGATTTTCGATGCTAAGTAGCTTTGGACGCAATTTCAGCTTTGTCGAAAAGAGGACGAAACATGCCTTCGAATTACATTACACATCATGCAAAACATTCCGCGTGTCTCTGCGTGGCTGGAATGAAACGATCTTAAATGCGTCCGGGTAACAAGGCTCTCGACTATTCGCAGCGAACGAATTACGGCGCGGAAAACGGCTTTTTGCCGCGCGTTGCAGCTCGGTTACACCGAGCATCTCGTAAAGGGCGAGGCGAAGGGCGGGCGGAATTTGCTTTCGCGCACGACCTGTTATTCTTACATTAATGCGGCGGGTCGCGAGGTTAACGAGACCTCTGTACCAACAGCTCGACGTGAAAATTGTTGCTCGGGTTTCAGTCGTCGAGTCGACTGACAAACTCGCGTCCTCGTGACTGATTGCGAGAAGATAGCAATAAGATGCTTTCCTTCTCCTTCCTCCCTTACGGCAAATATGCCACGCGTTTACAAGCATTGTCACTTTGCGAACGGAAACCTCCGGGGATTTGCCGCTATATCGGTCACCTCTCGGTCAATCCTCATCTTTCCGCGCGACATCGAATTTCTCGACTAGCAGCTCTCCCCGGGGGTTGGATAAGAGACGGAAAGGCGGAAAGATAAGGTTGGCGAATGCCAGTACACTCTTCACGTTCGTAAATCATCGCATGTTATCGACCCATCGATTTCGAGGGCGAGGTCTCCATCCGGTGCGGCAGACATAAGGACGACATATTTACATACGAATTTAAAAGCGATGGTACAAGAAATAGCGTCGTGTTTCCCTCCTGTTAGCGGAATTTCCAGTTTAATATTTGAAAAGTTTTAATTTATTAAATATTATAAAAAAGTGCGAACTTCATGAAGGAACAATGTTCTCCAAAATTCACCGCGGAATACTTTTTCCTAAACTTCCTCAAAAACTTTGAAAAATATACCGTAAATAAGAGTGTACGCACGTGTCCACTTTCGTTCGGCATTAAGTTCTTTCCATGAGAACGGCACGCGTGCGGGTCGAGTTATCTTATCTCCAAGCACCCTACGGCTTGAACTTCTTTCCTTTATTCAAGAGACTCTCGAGAAAGTTTGTAACGTAAGCGTCAGAATATCCTCAGATAAGCGTCGATAAATTCGCGATCTTGCTACTTTAGAACTGTACAATGAGAGAAAAGCAGTTCGATTCGCTTCAGTTGAAACGTTGCCGGAATATCACCATAAACATATGTACGCGATTATAAATTATAGATCATGTTGATTGTTATGATTTCTATCAATAATCTTCATCGTCCAAGAAATGAATATTTTTCTAACCATATGGCATCTTTGGCTTCGCTGTTTCAGAAATCTCCGGACCGACGAAGACGCAGACGTGGCCGCCCTTCTACGACGAGGAGGACGAAGTGGTATACGGCTCGGCGGAGGTGGACAAGGCGGACAACAGGCCGCCGACAGACAACACGGTTTACGGCCGCGTGGGTCCACTGGTCACACCGTCCTCGGCGATCCGCATCGGCAAGAAACGACCCATGATCAACGCCAATTCGGCCGCCGATGCTCATCGACGATGGCTGCCCGTCGTCCTGTCACCCCTGGTATCGCTGACGATCGTCTGTCGCAGATGGTGGTGGTGGTGATGATGGTGATGGTGATGAGGAACGGGAAAGAGCCGAGGAATTTCCAAGGATCGGGTCGAGGCACACGTCGTTGGTGCTCACGTTCGCACGTCGGTCTTATCGTGGCGCGATTTCGGCGACAAACGTAATCCACTTTCGAAGAAGTGGCGCGATCAACGTTGCAGGCTCACGAAGTTGTTTCTATTGCAGACCCGTTGCAGCGAGTTTTGCGAGGAGAAATATGTCCGCAACGCGCTTTATCATTGGCTGCGCGATCGGATTTTCAAGGGAGATTCGATGCCAAAGCAAACTACTCTGATCCTATCTGATCAGTGAGATAAAATCGCACGGAGTGAATCATACGTTACGTTGCAAATTTCATGTCCGGTAGCCGGCTTCGCGTGAAACAAAAGCTTTAATCCTCATTGGCTATTCAGCAGCTTGCTCGGCTCTACGCAGCAAAAACAACTTCGAATGGGCTTAAATCACCGCTGCTGCCGCCGACGTATCGTCTTCCCTGAGTGGCTTATTCGTAATTCATAGACTTAATCAATGGATCGGAAGCTCGCGAAAGGGATGAACCACGTGGGTCTGAAGACAAGGATTTACATCGCGGGACTTATGTATCTTGATCGTTGTACTTGGTGATTGGATCGAAGAATCGATCGGTGAGTGCTAAATTAATTAAATTCAGGGGTCAAATTCGAATTATAAGGTAGGTTCTATTTTCGATACTATTATATTGTCATGATCATTATTAATTATCAAAAATGTCCTAGATTATTTTATTCTTATGCAATATTGAACAATCTTATTTTAATAGTAGAGTCTCTCGTTTTACTTAATTTCAAGATAGCTCGAGAAAATCAAGATTAATTAAATTAATAATTTACATTACGTACATTACTTATATTGCAAATTTTATACAAAATTGACTTTTCTATTTCTGTTCTGTGGAAGAATGAATTATTGATACGATCGCGTGAACGATCGGTTAAGATATTCATCTAGCGAATATATAGGCGACGTCTAGATAATTGCGTGATAATAAATAAAAAATGGCGGTCATAATAAATAAAAAAAAGACGCAAAAGATAAGGAAAAAAACCCAAAAGCGGTGGTAGAGGCCAAAAGATAGATAGACGAAGAGAGCGACAAGGAGATATATTTATTTCGAAGTGAAAATGATATCGCGGATCAAAGATGCGTAACTCCTCAGCTTTATTGGCAATAAGCTGCGTGATATGTGTATATATGTACGTGTGTATTATATACGGACACGCTCGCATGTGTATATGTGTGCATACGTCAGGGTAACTAACACGTTCGTGCCATCTTATTTCTCTCTCTTTTCCTCCACCCATCTTTGTACGTTCTTCAATCGTGCAAGCCGCATGACGTAGCGTTCTTTAAGCACCTATCGCGATTTAGACGAGTATCGAAAATCTTAAATTGAGTTTCGATCCGAAAGTGACAAGACGTATGTCTTGACGGATGCTCTCGATCTCGAATCGATCGAATCGATCGATTGCGACTCGAAGCTGATCGCTCACATCTGTGAATCTGTCCTCTTCGTAAAATTTTTTTTCCCTCTCTCTCTCTCTCTTTCTTTCTTTCTCTTTAATTTTTTAACTATTTGTTTTTTCGAATGAAATTTTGAAAACAGCTAATTCTAATTACAATAAACGCTTTCGATGGCAAAACTCTCCAATCAACGTGAAATCAAGTATGATTTTGAAGAAATGTTTATTTCAAGAGAGCTCTTACTTTTCTAAATGTGATTCTCGATATCAAAATACTGCCATAGTAGCGGAATGAAGACTTTTCAATGATCGTTCACTCGAGAGTTTTGCCTTCGAGAACGGACTTTCGATATTAGAACTTTCATTCGGTTAAAATAAATTTCAAGAGGTATTTATATTTGAACTTTAACGTAACCACAACTGTTGACTATAAAGATTTAAACTAAACTTAAAAGAGACGTTACATAAGACTCTCGTGCTTCCGAGCTGTAATTTCTAAAATTGCAAAATAAAAAACATAGTAAAAGTCTTAAAAATATACGTTTACGAAAGGAAAAAAAATCGACGATTTTGACAGTAGTTTTAAAAGGAAACTTTCCTATGTAAATAAAATAAAAAACCTAGGAAAATATATAGTTCTCATTTTCTTCTGATGATTGGCTTAATGACAAGACAATAAATTTGATATTTCTTGCATTTATTAAATGTACGTATATGACATTAAAGATCTTTTACAGCTATATAGTACGTGAGGTTAGATTTAGAAGGATATCGTTGAATTCATTTTGTTTACATATAATATAATGCTAAACTACAATTAATGATAAAAAAATTCATAAAAATTTAATAAAAGTTGATAAGTAAAAAAATAACGATAAAATTATCTAAAAATGTCTTGTGTAAATTACAAGCTGCAATAACTTGGGAGCAATTTAATCAAAAATAAATAAATAAAAGAAAAATACGAGAGAAAGAAGGTGAGAGAGAAGCGTAGGAGAACGAAAGGAGAGCGAAAGATATTTATATTTTTATATTTCTATCATAGCGTGCGCTTATGTTCCGTGTCGACAGATTTTACTGTGAAAGGTTTACTTTAGCCATTTTTTTTTACTTGCTTTCGTTTTGGCAGTAATTTCTCTGATTATACTTAACGTTGCGACAACGAAAGGCGTCGTAAATACAAATTGGCCATTCTAACGCCATCTTCTTTCGGACTTTCGTTCCGTTTTCGAACGCAGTTTCGCAAAGTGGAGTCCAGAACCGCCGCGGAAAAATAACAAAATCGATCGCATCGATCGCCACGCACCGCTCGTGCTACGTTAGTGTTGTGTTCGCTTGCTAAATAAATCGAGCATTTCCCGTGGGCGCACGGTTTTGGAGTTTTATGGCAATCGAAATTGCGTTACGCGTTGCTGTTCCCTCGTTTCCGGAACTCGCCGACAGCTCTCTCACAGGGATCCCATCTAAATCCCCTTTAAAATCTATTTTCGTTCGCGTTTCTCAATCGATTTGTTGTGTCCACGATCCCTCCCATTACATTTAATTACTCTTAAACATGTCGGGCAGACTTTTTTCACGCGGAGAGAAAGTTTATTCTTTCACTATCCTACCGAGTTTCAAAATACAACATAATAAACCATAACGAAGTGCATCGTAGATCGTTTCAAACTAACGATGACGTTAAAAATATGCTTGGCTGGTCCTACAATATTCGCCCTCTCTCGCTCTCTTACTCCGAAATGCAAAGCACAAAATGGATGTGAAAAACTGTTTTAGAAGAACCGAAGATACTTTTTTTTTTATCATTGAATATTTACGTTACTCCACTGAAATATCGCGCCTGATGAATTTGTCGTCTGCACACGTTATTTTTTTATTCTGGGAAGCTCTTCAATTAACCAATGGCCCATTGCGCGTTCGATATAATACGCGACGTGCCACATTCGTCACTTGCAACCTACGTCGAAATGGGCAAAAAATCCAGTTCGCGAAGCGTCCTCAAGCGTCCTCACGAGAGCCAATGAATGGTCGCTCTCTCAGCGTGACCGGGAAAAAAAAAGAGGTCGAGGGAAAAAAAAATCGTGACGCTCTTCCTCCCCCGCCGGGCCAAATCGCGCTCGTTTGCGACACGCCGCCGTGGCATGCCAGAGTGTGTCCCCTCTTATTTTGTCGGAGGGAAATACTCGTTCCAGAACGATTATCGTCTCTCTTTCTCTCTCTTTTTCCCGCCGGCGACGCGAGCGGGTCCCGCCTCTCTCGGTCACCGTGAGAAATTATAAGGGCGAATCCGCCTTTAAGGACTAGGAGAGAAGAAGATCTTAGTTCCTCCATAAATAAACACAACTGCCCGCGCAGCTGGCGCGGACGTAATTCATCGTGAATTAATTTAAGGGCCACCGCCGCCTCCCGACTCCCCCTCGCGCCCCCGCCCCCGCCGCTTTCATTAGAAGGCCCCGCCGTGCCGAGACCGCGCCATTTGGCGGCTCTCGTTTTATGCTGATTTTATTTCCCTTCTTTCGCGAACTCGGGCGTCCGCGGAGTAATTGCGCGGTATTATTATCCGCCGCGAGTCGGCGGCGCGAAAAACGGAAACGAGGATGCGGCTCGTCAAAAACCGACAGCGAGGAGGATCCCTACGATTTTCGTCGCGAAGGCGAGATCCGGCGAGATCCTTCACAATTGTCCCCGTCCTTACCGTCTTCCTCCCTGCATTCTCGTCTCGGGACGACGTCATTGTCGCCCCGATGCCCGACGACGTCGACGACTCCTTCCTATGACTTCCAAACGGGCTTACCGTTCCGTTTGAGCTACGGCGCGAAGTCGTTTCCGCGAAAGTTACCGTTGCAGCTGCAGCACCGGCAGTCTCAAGCCGTCTCTCGGTATGACCTCTCGTAGATTTTACCTCCCCCGCCGCCGGCCGTTTGCTTAATCCCCACCGGTTACGCTTATTAAAGTCCCGAGAGGTACGACGTGTTAGCCCGTCGAGACGATATATACAAGGGACGCGGATAGTTAGGTACGCGGGCTGGTTGCACGGCGGTCGATTTATCGCGCGCTCGCAGTCGGCTCGTTTCGACCTGCCAGCTTGAAGGGTGCAGTTTCAAAAGTTCACGCTTCAACACATCGCGACAGCAACTACCGATGTCACCCCGCCGCGAAATGTCCTGTACACGTGACTTTTCCTCCTTCTTGTTTCAGTTTTGATTCGCGAAATAATATAGAGTCGCAACAATCGTGTAAAAATGTATACTTCCTCAAAAGTGCTTTATACAATTTTATTAGATTTATGCAAGATTTATTTACTGATTTAACGATTTATGTGAATCGATGGACATCGAACGTTTTTCCTTACCTTTTATTAATTTCTTGTAATGAGAAAATTGTTTTAAATAGTTTTCCAATTTGATACTTTAACGTCGATATATATTTTGGCGCTTTAAATTGTCAGGTGATTTTTCGGATTTTTCTACGACACGATCGAACAGCTTCGAAAAGTTTGTTTTATGAGACTTAAGTGGGTCGATTGAACCTGGTGTAAAGTTTTAAATCTCGGAAAGAAGGGGAATTAGCCAACTTCCTTTTATCTATGTGAATTATCACTTCTTTGGCTCGTCGATTAGCATTTATACTGACATTGTGGAATGCCCTTGTGTTTTTAACATCTATAATATTTTTACGATATTCTATATATTTCACGTGATATAAATTTTATCTACTTTTCTTTATTTCGTGTACGCGATGCTATTTTGTCTCCATAAATATTTTTCACGTATAAATCGATATACTCTGTACGATTTCTGAATTATCTTTATTTTCTTCGTTTTATTGTATGCTTACTTATCTTTTCCATTGCTCTTCTTTTATTTACTTTAGTTTCGCAACGTGGCTTGTTGCAACCGTTAGTTTCTCTTCGCTTATTGAGTCGTAAATAACATGATATCTTCGTTATCGAACGCGAAAACACTATTGTAAAAAAAAATTCACAAATACCCGTTTCAGAATTTTTCGTTCTCCTTGCGGTGAATTTTCACAATCCACGAGAACTCTGAAAATATGTTGTATTAAATATAATGAAAATAGTATTTCGAGAAAAAAAGAACGGCAAAAATCATTCATTAACTTGTTACACAAGTACTTGCAATTTGATTTTTTGGAGAAAATAAAATCACAAGCTTGTGAATATCAATTCCTACGAAATCCAAAGAATGAAAACAATCGTACTTGAAGGAAAATCGCGATAAATCTTTTCGTAGCTGATCATATTGTTCACAGTCACATTAGGATATGGATATCCGCTGTTCCGATCCTCGGTCGCGCGGATAATCGGATTCCTCGCGTTTATTCCTCGACTTTTAAGTTCGACGACGGGCAGTATCGGAGATCCTCGGAAAGTAAAATGTATTATGGATGTAGCCCAGGAAAAACATCCCTGCACGAGAGCTGTATGCCGATGAATTTTCTACACAGATCGGGATACGGTCATTTTCTCGAAATCCCTAAGTGGCGTCCACCGTGGAAGTTATCACTGACAGTTATCTTGTACATCACTGCCATTCGACGAGTCCTACGGCGGCTCATTCCTCCTTTCGCGCTTCCAGATATTCCTCTAGACTGCAATATCAGACAATACAAGAAAACGGAACTTCGAATAAAACTGTTAGCGGTGTGCATGACGCGAAGGATGACTTCTCACTCTTTTCAAGAGTACCTAATCCGCCTCTTCCTTTTTTTTTCTGGCGTTGTTATGCTATAGGATCGATACCGCAAATTCGCATTAACGTCAAAAGAGTCGTGAAAATCAATTCCTCTCGAAACAAGTAGACAGACTAAGTTTCTTCGAAAAGTAGTATATTTTCGCAAAAAGTAAAATATAAATGGTTAAAAAGATTTTAATTCCAGATACCAAATTTCAGATTAACTTTGATCATAGAAGAGTGGCTTTTATTCAGCAATTTCGTACATACACTGCAAAATTATTAATGTTTTATTTATAATTAAATTTTTGAATTTTTCAACTTATAGAAAATTTACTTGCGTTTTTATTTTTTATCATAATTCCAGAAATTAAAAAAAAATTCTATTTAATTTTACTGAAAAAGTTTTTTAAAAGCTTTTTAAAGCGACCATATAGTGTAGCTATGTCGGCTCTTTTGATGTTAAGACACAAAGTAAATTTTCTATTACTTTTTTAGTCGAAATTATATATTGTATACATATGCTTTTTGTAAGATAATATAAAATTTAAATAGATAGAGATGGAATTCTTGACTTGGTTTATGTGAATTCGAGGTCTATGAGAACCATAAAACAGAATCTCGCGGATACTTCGCGAGGCGGAAATGTGCTTAGACTCTTTCAAGGCAGATAATATGCTTATGCGCTTCTCGATGAGTGTTCAAGAAACTAGCTAAACGAACCGCATTGTTTTTGTTCCTTAAATCGATGAAATCGATTCGACTTGTACACTATGAAAGAAAGTTGCATACTTGCGTTGTTAAATGGGACAATCGTTTCGCATCCGGACGGAATCATGCGAGTACCATCTCGATATCTGCTCGTATGAGCGAACGTTCGACCGTTGACACAATGTGTATATCTATCTACATATCTATCAAACGTAAGAGCTATCTTTCTCTGTATAAATGGTAACTGCGAAGTTGTAGTGGCGTCCGATATGATGTTTCAACGGCATCTTTCTTCGAAAATGCGCAATGTATAGTGCCCGCTAGTTTTGTATAAACTGTACGTACGCGCAATCGAACATCGCAGTAAAAACGAAGATTAATTAAAGACAAGACGAGTGACGCGAATTGTATAAATATAGTCATGTAAG